TTGATTAATTAGCTTTTTTTATCCAATTAGGTCAAGACAATTTTCTACAAAAATAGATATCAATGTGATGATAGTATATTATGGATAACTTGTTGAATATGTATATAGTGAAATTGGTATGTATTTTTCATTTCATACTATATTTTGATCGACATATTAGCTCAGTCCAAACGGCATGTGGTTGTTTACGCTAGCTTAAAAGCTCAACCATCTTTAAAGTTACCTCAAAAAATTCAAAATGTAGAATAAAAGTTTTCTTTTTGTTAAAGCTTAAAAGCTTGGAATGGCTTAAGAGCATGTTTTTATCAGGTTAGTCTTATGTTTTGTGCTCTCATTGGTGACTTCCTACTTCTTGTCAATTTCTGATGGTTGTCTTGCTTTATTTTTTACCTCAATTTTTGTTAAACTGCCTATATGTTTCCCAATCTTACCTTTATTATTATAATAGAACATTGTTGTGCCATAGACTGGTCTTTTCAAACCTTTCTAACCCCATTGAGTGTTGAAAATTTCACTTTCAAATGGAGAATTGAGCTATAAGCTACATAATAGACTAGCTAAGTCAACTTAATATCATGTAATAAACTGATAGGAGGTCTACAACCATGAATTCTATAATCGAGGTGATAGTCTTCAGTTTAATCCCTAAAGAGATAAAAAATTTGATCGTTTCTTTTTACTGATACCTATTCATTTTTAAAACCCACAAGTGTTGTAGTGATCGGCTTCAACTGATCTTCACTAATTCTCATTTTTTTATGTAATTGTAGTATATGATGTCGGTTAAATTCCAATTATCAAATAGGATTCTTTTAACTACATAGTTATACATTAAGGCTATAATTATTATAACATCATCGTGTAGGTGTTAGATTCTTACAAGATCTTTCAAGCTAAATAAGATCAACCCATTTTTCCAATCTTTTTTCTTTTTACCGGCCTACCATCATAACCATGCATAGGTTAAACTTTTTCTTGGTCAAAGTGAAGCTACCCCCAATGATTACATTAATCACCCTAATAATTAGCCTATTATTATTAGTTTGGCCTTCTTATTGTTTGGCCTTATCTTTTTTGTCTTCTCTTATTTTTCTTTTCTAACCTTTTTTCTCTGCCTTGAATGGCTTTTCTTCGGCATTATCTATAATTTATTTTGGGCTAGCCTTGTCTTCGCTACTCTATAAACTTTCTCAGTTAACATCTCCTTATCAAAGCTTCAATCTTATTTTTCAGGTCGATGCAATCTTCAATGTTATGGCCTATGTCCCTATGAAAGGTATATCTTTTAGTTGGATCCCTTATCGTATTCTGTCTCAGTGGTTTTGATCATTTAAGGTCAGGATTTCTTTCAATTTACATCAAAATCCTCTTTTAAAAGGTATTCAGTGCAGTATAACTTTTTTCTTTACTAGGGCTTGTAGTTCTATATCGTCTTCTTCTTAGGAAAGGATTGTAAAAATCTTTGCTTTTTTTATGACCAATGAAGGAGGATGAGCCTCTCTTACCTCGACCATCAGAGAGGAGGAATGAGTCTCTTTCACCTCGATTAATTTTTATTGTAGTTTTAGCATTTATTTATTTTTTGGCTATCAATAGGACGTCAGCTGGAGTTTTAAACGATTCTAGCAACAAAGTTAATTTATGTGGTACTCTTTGTCAAAGAGTCCATTTGTAAGGGCAGCTACGGTCATTGTCTGTTACAAGTATTTAACCTGCAAAGCTTTCACATTAAAACGTATAACATAGCTCTTTAAAGATTCGTTCTGACCTTAATGGATTGACATCAAACTTAGAGTCGTCTTCTTCGCTCTTCGACTACTCATAAACCTGGACAGGAAAAAGTGGCTAAGTTATTTGAACGTAGTGATTAACTTCAGTTCTAGGCTACTGTACTAAGACCAAGCTATGCCTTTCAGTGTGGTAGCCAAGCCTTTGCACATAAGAACTTTTTATGTGCCCTATATCATCATGCTAGTCCTATAAAGTTTCAAATGATCAAAAAGATCAAAAGTACCATCGTATGTTTTCAAAGTCGGCATTTTAAATCCTTTGGGAGGCATGGCTCTGTCAATTTCTTCGGTGAAAAATGAGGTCTCCAAGAACTTAAGCTCATCTTTAAATGGCATCACTTTCATTTTCAGCTTTTTCTCTATTACCTGCATCTGAGCTTCGAAGTCCTTATTTGGTTGGAGTTCAAAGTTTGTCGATATAGATTTTTAGGTTGTAGCCTGTGTTGAATTGTGGCTGGGGTAATAATGGGCTGAGGTTGTGTGCTCCTCTTCTCTGGAGGCCAAAGAGGCTTCCACCTCTTTATAGCTAAGTTGTTTAACAGCAACTCATCGGGTGTGATTAAGTCAAGCACTTTCAAAACTTATGGTAGGATTATAGTTTGTAACATCTGCTTGAGAGCCTGTATCTGTTCGATCAAAGCTTTAAATTGTTTCATGATCGATCCCGCCTATGGTTGGGCAAGTCAGACAAAATGTTGGCTATGATAGGTTTCTGTTTCAACCATCTTTTCTTCCTCCAAGGTTCTTTTCCGTGGCATCATTACTTTGTGCTCCATTAATGAGTGAAAAAAAGGTCTCCTACCTAAAGCGCCAAATGTTTGTACCGAGCTCTGATCTCATGGTGTTTCTAGAAAGACAGAAGATAAGGGCAATTAGAGATAAAGGCAAGGTGTGTTCTTTGCATTTGCACTCCGACGTATAAATCACAAAAAGTGAGGTCAGAAAAAAAGTAGATAGGAGAGAAAAGGAGTTGACTGAACTAATGGTGTCAGAACCTTCAAATTTATAGGTAAACTGTAGAGGACCATTAGAGAATTAATAAGGATAGTGCCGAGTTAATGTGGTACTGAATATATCATATTACCTGACATGTCAGGTTAGTACAAATGATAAAAATATTCTTGATTGTCTGCTGAAGGTTTCATAAAAGAAAAAAGATTGCTATACCATTTTTACCATCAAATACCTCTAACACTAACAGTATTCTCCTTGAAGATCTAATACTCACTTCGTGGACCATAAATCAATAAAGAAGAAATATGACATCTAAAAAATCAAGTAAAGAAAATAGAACAATTTTTTTATATTTAAAGTTATCAAAAATTAAGTAAGAAATCACAAGAATTCAGATTTTAACACTCTATCAATATATCATTATATAGTTGGTGAGGAAATGGACCGATGTGAATGAAGAGATTTATACAGTTGTTGGCGAGGAAGTTGATCGTCATGAATGAAGAGATTTAATCTTTGCAATTGTAGTTGCAACTGACACAATGCCCCAAATGTTCATAAATTATTATGATGTTGAAAATCAACAATATCGTATTATTGAAGCAAAAGAATTATCTTACATGGGCTGCGTCTCTGTCACACTGAGTAACATAAGAGAGAATATTTTCAAAGGGTTGGTTAGATCTGCAATTTGAGACCTGTAGGATTGTCAGCAGAACCAGACCTCAAGATTCAGATATCAGATCTATATTTGTCTTTCTCCAAAATTTTCTGCCTTTTTATATGCATTGACATAGACAAGCAGCAGATTCACTGCGAGTCCCTAGTTATTCTTTCCCTTTAATAAACAAAAAATGTGAATACTCGTGCATATAAATTAGAAGGGGACTCACTCCATTTGATCACAATACGATCAAAACACATTTGTTTTTTTCACTAGTAAAAAAAAAATAAAAATCCTACCTAGGCAGTCACGATTACAAAATGCACAAACAAGTAAATATGCCATAAAATACAGATTCACATCAGCGCCCTTTACCACCCCTTCCCTAAAAGAAAGAGTAATAGCAACTTTGCCATTGCCTGAGTTTCCACCAAAAGAGAAGAAAACCCAATGGAATATTAAAATAACTTGTGTACTTTTCACACTAAATTGTATAAATATTATAGGAAAAAGAAAAACTTCCCAAAATAGAAGGGAGGGAAAGTCACATGAATGCAACTAACTAATGTTTAGATGTGCATGTCCCATCTAATTGAATCAACCAAAGTTCTAATTAATGGGTCTCAACTAGGAAGTTACAGTTTCGTCTACATATATTATTAGTGGCTTATGAATTATGATTCATAAAATATCAGCCAGTTAGCCGGAGTGAAGATTCCTACTTTCAAATACAGTCGAAATTCCCAGCAAGTCCTAAAATGCTCACTACAAAAGCACAAAAACCTATGATGCAAGGCAGAATCGTAGAAAACTAAGCATGCAGGGACACCTAATAACTGTTGGATTTCAATACCCTGTAACCAAACGAATGGCCAAAAGAAAGATATAAATCTTCAGCCATTGCAATAGCATCTCCTTCATTTTAACAGCTAGTCAACATAAATTTACATCCGAGAACTCGTGTTTATCTAATGTGAAAACATAATGTTCTTGTTCCTTCTGTTTCATGCAAGGGAAAGAACTCCTCCACATATAGAAAATAACTAGGAAAGTTCATAGGCCTTCTCTGTTTTGTTGTTAAGGACTCGCCACAATTCCATTTGGCCAAGTCAGGCAACAGAGCAAGTCCATTTGGCCACATGAGCTTTTAACCAATTAAGGTAGTAAGTAAGAGATAGTTGGCAGTTGGAGTAGAGATCCCAGGTGCAAGCCAACATATTGAAGACACAATAGATTCATTCTACTATTGGACATTTTTGAGGGAAAACAAGTGCTAAATTTAGACATGTCCATATCTGCTTTCCTCCATAAAACAAATTCATCACGTAGGATATATGTTTTTAACCAAACAGTAGCAATAACAAGAAGATTTTAAACTTTACTTTGGTGTACGGACAAAATGTATAAATTTAACGATCAAGAAATGTCAAATGGTATTAGATATATTTTTTAAAACTTCTTTTACACATTTTTTTTTGCAACTTTATTCAAGGGTTGAACATGAATACCTGTATTTATGAATTTTGATTGTGACCAACTATTTCAATAATGCTCATTACATTATGAGAAAAAACAATCAAAAAATTTTCGAATAATATTTATTAAAATATAAACTCAATATACATACACTTTTTTTGTCATTCCACATCCATATATATACATATGTATATTAATAATGCTCATTACATTATAAGAAAAAACCATAAAAAAATTTTCCTATAATATTTTATTAAAATATAAACTCAATATACCTGCACTTTTTTGTTATTCCATATATATATATATATATATATATATATCACTTCAGTAGGGAAACAACCTTTAAAGTGTGTTTCCCTACTGTAGTGACAAGTTGGAAAACATTGGTAGCTATAGCCATCAGCCAAACGAGTTGCAGTACGCCCTTCTATTATTTGTGATGCTTGAGGTCCGTTGCAAGTTGTCATGGATAGTAAAAGCATCAACGCTCAGTAAACTTTTCACTTCCAATCTATTTCTGATGTAAATTACAATCTATGTAGTTGTATAAAGTATAATCAGAATTTCGAGACATACATAGATAAAGCAGATAGGCGTAGGTCAACCCTATAAGGTATTGATTTACTTGATCGCACCCATTCTTGGTGCCCTGGTTGGTTCTGGCACCTACACTCTCGTCAAGCTCCGCGAGGAAGAGGCTGAAGCAACACGGCAGGTTAGGAGTTTTCGACGCTAGCTTTTGATCTTATCATTATGGAAGGGAAAAGTCAAATACTTTTACGTATGGCTTTTCTCTTCTAATGTGATATGTCTCTCTTTGAAAGCATATACATCATGGTTTGATTGTGTGGGGTAAGGATAATATATAGCTTTGGAGAATAATGGGCCATATGACTACAAGTCCACGCCCTACAGTTTGGTTAAATAATGTTGGTGCTTGCTTCTTCTTCTTCTTCTTTTTTTTTTTTTTTTTTTTGGTGGTTTCAGGACAAGAATGTGTTTGGGACATCTCTGTCCTTGTTTAAAATCGTACAAGGCATCATTTCGGACAAGCTTGCTCTTCTAAGATTCAGCAAAGTTCCAATTATATCATGTAATGTAATGTTGTTCAAACAACTAGGTTTAACCACATTTGGAACCTTGGGTTGCCATATAACATTCCAGATATTATCATCTCCTGTGTAGGAGCTGCTACCCGGGGATGAATTGACTCACCTACTCTTCCCAGGCCATGCGAGTAAATTGGCCCAAACCAGGCTAGATACCTTGAAATTGAAGGACTTGAAAACTGAACAGAGCTGAAGAGTTGATCAAGGCGCTTTACTTTCCATCACCATTCTCACGATCCATTACAGGATGGATAAAAATTATCTTCGTCTTCCAAATCTCAACTGACAATTCCCCAACGCCAACCCCTCCAAAAAGAAACTCGAAAATACGTTCACAAGCACAGCAATATAAAATCCAAAACATCTAGAATGTTTAGTCTCAAAATTTCCATCAATCTGAAGGAAATGTTGCTAATTTCTTCAACAAGTTTCTCTATTGCTTCAAAGCTAAATGTAAGGTACCGTATAGAGTATAGAGATTCCAGAGAAAAGGTAAAAACAAGTAACACGACTAATTGAAATTTGATGCTCATGGCGTCATTTATTCGGATCACCTTTTTCTTCAAAATGTTTGGGAATTCAACTCCAGAACTTCAATAGGATGCCCGTCCCACCTCCAATGGTATTGTCTCCAAAAATGGCATGCTAACAGCTGAACTTGAATCAAATAAACCAAGCTTCTCTAGGAGTTTCTTGATTATTTCACCAACTACATATGAGATGCCAGAAGCCGTAATCCCCAGGAAGACATAGGATGATACAGTTCGGAAATAAGCTCGATGTGGTTTTCTAACATGACCTTTACCAAGTGCAAGCAAAATGATGCATACTAGAGAAGCACCCGCAACTGCTGCAAGCTTGAGGTCTTTATCATCACTCTTGCGAAATGAGAAGCCATATACAACAGGAGGAACCAAGCCAAAAATGAGGAATGATAGAATAGCTACAGTCGCATGCAATACAAAATTCTGTCTCCGTCCTAGCAGTACTTGATACCGGTCTTCCTCAACGTTGATTTCAGTGGAATCTCCACGAGGTTGGTCATTTTTCAGTTCTCTAAGCTGAAAAGTTTAATTGTAAGTCAAGTTGCTAGAAATGAGATAAAATACAAGTGAGAGAAATTTGTCAATTCTAAAATACATAGCTATGGTTAAAGATGTAAATAAAAACTCTAAAGCATCTGTATGCAAGCCAGTTCAGTACTGAAATCAATAAAGATCTAACTATGCAAAAGAGTCTGACTCTGAAAATGCATATCACAAAACACTAAAATGAAAAAAAAAAAAAAAAAGAAAAGGAGAGCACTGAATGTTCAGGAGTGTGCCTGTTAGGAAAGTGATAATTCAAAAAATCTATCCTACACTTGTAGGTTTCAGATTTCAAGTGAAACTAACAGGTCCAATCTTCAGTAAAACACTTGGAGACATTTACAGATGAAAATGTTCACAACAACAGTCGACTTTCAATTTTATCATGGATCATGCTAACCAACAAATATTATTCATCAGGAAGAAAAACTCACATTATGAATAAAGACAAGAAGCCCTCCAATTAGATTTGCCATTCCCAAAGCCAAAACATTCACTGCAATGACAAAGCAAAAACTTTGTGTAAATGATAAAAGCATAAAGACAATTATTTTGTCTGTTCTGGTGGAGATGCTTGGCCAATGAATCAGAAAGCAGGCATAACTCCTCAAAAAAGTCAGCTATAGTACGTGCATGAAAGGAAGTGGAGCCACTATAAAATTTCAGCTGTAAATTGTTCTTTATTCTTAATGCAAGGAAATGGAGCTGTTATAAATAATTTACTGGAAGTGAGAAAAACTCTAGGATACATATATGATAATAAGGGATGAGAGAATGTGACTAAATATGCATCTGTTAAAACCATTTGATGTAATCTGTAGAGAGGGGAAAAAGAGAGAAAACTTACGTGTATCAGCACCAGCACCTGCTGCAGAAGACACAACACCTAAACTTATGATTGATTGAATTAATCCACCGTAGACAATGCTTTTTAGTATTTGCCATTCATGAGTTTGACCATCAGCACCTCTATTTTCATCCTGAGTTCTACTTTGAGACAAAGGTACCACCTCCGTCCTTGGGGAAAATGTTGGCTCAAGCACCCCTGCTTCAATATCCTCTACTATCTCATTCTTCCCTGCAAGACATTGCAATCGCAGAAGATGCAGAAAAATCAGAAGTTCTACGAATCTAACATGCTGTAGATTGCATTACAATTTACAATGATCAAGTATATGAGTCTGTTTAAAAGAATGAAACTTAAAAAGTTTAATTTTCAATTAAAGGGCATATATATTTAGTGGTTAGTACCACTATAGGAGCAAACACTCATTTAACAGGACTAATCATCTCAAAGAGAAATTTATGAATTCAAAAGATAAAGATGGTGATGAATTACTATTGAGCTTAAAAACTTCCATTTCATATGTTGAGAAAGAGCAGGTTATATCAAGTGATTAACACTTTGTCAGATGCAAAGGAATTTTTTATGTCTAATTATCAATGTCATTTCCGCATAAAGCAATTCTGCATAAAGCAAATATTAAAAGGAAGGTTTAGCTATAAAATTATGTCCAAAGAAATGCCGCACACAAACCATTGGACATCTCCACAATTTCAAGAAAACCTGGTCATCTATTTCCATGCTTAGCCCCAAACATGCACATACCAGCATTTTTCTGTAACATGACAGCATCTGGCTTCTTCTCCCTGGATACAGATTTCACCTTGTCAAGTACAGAGCTGTTTTGAGGACTTTGAGGACTATGCACGTTCTCATCATGGCTCTTTTGAGGACTTTGAGGACTATGCATGTTCTCATTGTGGCTTCTCTTTCGAGGACTTTGGGTATCTTCATTGTGGCTTATATGTTGAGGACTTTGTGCATCTTTATTATAGTTTATATGTTGAGGACTATGCACATTCTCATTGTGGCTTCTCTTTTGAGGACTTTGCGTATCTTCATCGTGGCTTACCTTTTGAGGAGTTTGAGTGGTATCATTCAGGCTTATACCTTGAGGACTTTGGGTCTTTTCCTTCTGGCTCATCTCTTGAGGACTTTGTGTCTTTTCCTTCTGGCTTATCTCATGAGGACTTTGTATATTTTCACTTGTGTTTTTCTCTTGTGGGCTCTGAGTGTTCGACCTCTGGCTTATCTGTTGCGGACTTTGTATGCTTTCCCTCTGGCTTATATCTTGCAGACTCGGTGCCTGTTCAGTCTGCCTCCCATGTCTGAAGAACTGAAAGATCTTGAAACAACCATTTCCTTCAAGAATTAAAGAATAAGTTAGGTTTCAAGTCCAGGTAGTAATGATTTAAAATTGTCAAATTAAAATAAATATATTTGATTTGAAACTCATACCAAGGAACTAACAAATAAGTTCAAGCATGCATCAAAATAGACATTGCATACATGTGAGGTTACTACCATATGTAAAGATCTTTCTATCATCCTTAGTTGCTATTATTCCAATGATTAGTAAGATACTTAGACGATTAATTAAGAGCATTCACTCTCCATGCAGCATAAGAAACACAATACCTATAGGGATGAAAAGGCTGTAGCATGATGTGCAGCCGAATGCTTCTTGTTCTTGTTCTGTACCATTATTTTGCTCATCAGGTGCTGGTGTTGGACTAACATTTGAATATATTTCAGGTGTGTCACCACCACGGCCGTCACCCACAGAATTAGGAATCAGATCCAACTTTTTCACAGGCTTTGGTTTGTGGTGTTTATTTGAAATTTTTGGCTTTCTTCTGCGAAGGATAACCCTACGTGTGATACAGGCATTGCAATTTGGACAGATCAAATCATGTGTATTTTGTTTTTCAACATCTAATTCCATCAAAACCTCTTCAGTTTCTCCACTTAAGTCAACACTGACATCAGCTTTGGTTGCATTGTAGAAATGCTTAGAACTCATATTTGTTTCTTCATGCAACTGTTCGACTGGTGCTGGGATCAAACGAAAAATGTTTTGATCCTGTACATTTTTCACCCGTTGATGATTGCTTTCCAAGCTCAGGATTTTTGGAATGTCAGATTGCGTTTCAGAATTTCTATGGATGGATTCAATGCCTGCAACCAAGCAGCAGATAAAACACTTTGTTATAAAACTGTAGGCTAATATTTTTATCTTAAAAAACATTTCAATTTGAATAAAGATGTACAAAAAATGTGTCCTGATTTAGTTACCTAGAACTAACAATTGATAATTGGAATATTAGAATTAAACCAGCATTCACATTTTATAGATGGAAAGGGAAGTATTTACGTATCTAAACACAATAAAAATTCAGAGTTTGATACTACCAGCCAGCAATGACAAAAAAAAATCATAGACACAGCATCTGTACAACTTTCTAAACCAAAGTTTTGACAAAATAATCAAGGAATATATTATCCAAGAAGAGATACCCAAATGTCACCAAATTAAAGCAACTGGTCCACTTCTAAGGCTATTATTACTAGTGTTTTAGATGGATATGAACACTAACACCAGCAACCTATAATGAAAGAAAACAGCTAGCCACAAATAACTACAATAATCCATTGACAAGGTTCAGCCTGTCACAGTTTGACCACCGCCACTGCTACCGTCCATGCATGACATCTTGGCATCAACTGACCTTTAGTTTCTAAAGTGAAACACAGTCCCCATTGATTTAAATTTTTCGTATCCATCGCCATGTGCAAGTACCCCTTAGGATTCTGGACATCAAGTATGCAAGGACTTCCAATTTGGTGGGTCCAATTGCAATGGCGACATTTCCATATTCCTTCAGTCACAACAAGGAAAAGCAACGGCATCTCACCAATAACCAATATAAGAGAGGATCACAAGGATGAAACAAGTAAGAGAATAAAATACAAACAAAAAAAATTTCCAATCAAAGTGATCTCAAAGAGAACGTAGATGACACTGATTTTGACATGTTTAAAATGGTTGGTTAAGTTTAAGTACTCGTGTTTATACCAGAAGCTGGAACATTTGAAAGATATGAATTGTTGGAAACAAAAATTCAGGAGAGGAATGTAAAAAAAGTTAAAACTTTAGATTGACTGATTAGGGTAGTATTTCACCATCTAGCAACAATAAACAAATAGTAATGGCAGCACTAGGATACACTGAAGCTCTTAAAACACCAATAAGAGTTATAATATTGAGCTATCTTCAATGGAAATCCTTACAATGTTGACTGCTTTATTCTTTTATAGACTACATTAAGAGGCAAGCCCAATTGCACAAGCACTTCAATTAGCTTTGGTCAAACAACTTAATTGAACAAAAAAAAAAGGGTTAATTATGCAAAATTTCAATAATCTTGGGAACTAATTCTTTACTTCCTCTGGTGTCCGTTACATTGGCAGTGAGGAAATTACTGATGCCATGAAAACAGAAATTTTAACTGTGAATAAATGTGAAGGTTGAACTGTCAGGCATGATCGAAAAAAAGAAACGAAAGCTTGGTGGTCCTCCTTAACTTTTACATGATACTCTTGCTCCAAGTTGCTAATAATGGCAAGGTAGCTTTTTTTTTTCCTTTTGGCATACACTGAGCAGTGAGCAAGAAGAGTCAACATTGAAGAATGTAAGAGTTCAAGAAAGGGGGAAGGAGAAGAGATTCGCTGGGATCATTCACCCATTGTTGGAATAAGTGTGAGATTTAAAGAAAAGAAAGCAATCTAAAAGTTATATAGTAATATGATACTAATATTTATGCATTGATAAGTATTGAGAATGGTTATGGAAAAGTTGAGTACCTTCAAGTTTGTCAAAGTAAACACTGTTTCCAATTCCATCTCCTTCCCCCTTCGCAACTTTTTCTTCCTCATTCTCATCGCCCACCTCCTCATTTCGGCGACTGTAATCTGCCGTTGCTGCTCCTTTGTCCTCTTCTTGGTCTTCAGATGTAGTTCCATTGGCAGGGGCAGGCTCAAGCTCACCATTAATAGTAATAGAAGAAGTAGAAGTGGCTCCATCTACTTTGGTTGGATCCCTTGAGTGCCTGGCTAACAGGCTCACGCCCTCCTCTTCCTCCTCCTCCTCCTCTCCATCTTTGTCAAGCCACAAAGTTGTTTTGAATGACCGTGACTCCAGTTGTTGCTCCATGTGGTTATCTCCGTCACTTCCAAGTCCTCAAAGTAAGAGCCCGACCGCCACTATTCACTTGTTTCGGCTTTCGGCTACCATATGTCCACCTTTATTTATACATCAATAAAAAGACTAGTGGTAGTATTATATATTTGTACTATACCAATAAATGATTAAATTAATGAGAAATTAAAGTTTGGTAACCTAGTTCTAGCTAGCCGTTGAGAAGATCATTTTTGTAAAAAGTCGACGCATGAACAAAACAAAAAAATAAAAAGCACAATCCTCCACTTGCGTGCACATACACCTTATGTTTTTATTTAATTTGTTTATTAAATTATTTAAATTTGATAAATATTTATTTTTTAACTCAAATTTTGTTTATATAATATAAAAAATATACTTTAATCATTTGAATCAACTAAATATTTGTTTATTAAGTTAAATTTTAAATTTTAAACTCAAATCTAAAATTAATTTTAATATATTTTATTGAAAATAAATTTATAAATAAAAATTACCTCATAAAAATTTAAAATTAAAAATCATAATTAGAATACTTAATAAATTAATTTAATTAAGTATTATATTAATAATAAATAATTTATAAATAAATATATATAATATTAAAAAATTATTTATAATCGAAGTGATATCCTATGATTATTATCCAAACTCCTAACTAGTAATAACTTTGTTGTTTAAATCTGATTATAAAATATTTTAATCCCACTTAATCAAATTGGATAACGTAGTGTATCCATTTATAGGTACTCATTATCATCATAATATTTATGAATTTTATAAAATTTTTATTTTAAAATAATTAATATAAATAAATGATGATAAATATAATTATAATTTTTTTTAATCGTACAAATTTTTTTAGAGATATGATTTCATACATTTTCAATAGAATTTTGTAAATTTACAAACAGAATGACATATATTATATTTTTTTAAATTAAATTATTAATAAAAATTATTTAATATATTGATAATAAAGTTTTGTAACTTTATAAGTGAAGTTAAAATAGTAACACATGTAATTTTATTATATTTAAAAAATAATTTAAAAATAATTTAAAATAATAAAATAAGTGTTACTATCTTAACATTGCTTGTAAAGTAAAAAACTCAATTATCAGTATATCAAATATTTTTTTTATTAAATATATATTAAAAGTAAATGTGATAATGTTTAAAATTGATAGGACTTGAGTCGGATAATGCATATAATTATAAATTTTTAAAATTTGATTCGAATTCAAATTTAATTTTTATATGATTCAATTTAAATCAAATTCGATTTTATTTTATTTATTTATTTTAAATTTTTGTTTTTATATATTATTTTAATATAATTTTTAATATATTTAAGTAAGTTTAGGTTTAAAATAATTATTTTTATTTTATAAAATTTTAAAATATATATAAATTAATAAAAATAATTCGATTCAGTTTGATTTTTTTTGTTTTTATTTTTCGATTCGAAATTTGATCAAAACTTAAAATATATATTTAATATATAAATTTAATTTAAATTGAATAAAAAATTTATTTGAACTAAATATTATAATTTTAAATCAATTTTCAAATTTTTTTCAATCTTTTTCTTACCTTAATTAAGAAATATATATATCATCTTGTTAATCCACTTATAAAAGTAAAAAATTTAATTATCAATATATTTAATAATTTCCGTTTTTTAATGCAGTGTACAAACTGCATGAAACTACGACCCCATACACACATACACGTATGTGTGTGTGTGTATATATATATATAAAAGTAAAACAAAACTGGAGAGCATCCTGTATCAAGATCCTCAACCAGGAGGCGCTGGATTCTTAACACCATGTGTACACGACTACCTGGTCCTACTCCTACAGCCTGGAAATGTGAAGTTGACAACCCTCCGCTTCATGTGCGGTCCATTTTTTTTCTTTGCTTTCTATCAGGAAAACGTGACTTCTGAATTATGATATTTCTGACCAAATAATGCAGAGTTCAACGAAATATATTAAATTCCACCAGTATTGTTAATTGCCAGTCTTTATTTTTGTTGGTGGATAATTACTCGTTCACATTTGGGGTTTATTTTATCATTTTTTTAGTTACGAGATTTAAATTCGAAAACTTTAACTTTAAAGCTGATTTCCTTTTTCTTTTTTATCATTTTGTTTCTTAGGAACAATAAATAGGTTATAAATTTATTATTTTATAAGGTAATGTTGAACTTCATTAATAGTGTTGGAAATGAACATAGGAGCAATTTTTTTGAAAATCATAAATAGTAGATTTAGTATTTTTAGATATAATATGGACAAAAAAAATGAAATGATACAAATTAAAATTTTATATAAAATTATATATAAATTTGATAAAAATAAAAAATAAATTTTGCATTTGACGTATATTGAAAGTATCATAGTAGAGATGAGTTAGAGAATGACGTATGGAATGAATTTTCAAATGGTAAGATCTAATAAATGGAGTTGATTGTACTTTGACTATGGGGAAGCCAGAGAGTACTCGATCTTCTTTAATAATTACAAAAAATGGTTAATAATTGCATAATTTATTGAGAAAATATTAAAATTTTACTTTTTAATTATAATCATCACGAATCAAATTCTGTATATGAAAAAGGTAAACAAAAACTAATCAATTACAAGATGCATTTTCTTTGGTTTAAAGACAAAGCGCCAAATCCGTATCAGAAACTTAAAGATATGGCGAGATTTGCACGGCAACTACCCATTGTTACCATCCCTGCTGCTTAGTCAATTTAAAGCATCATTGTTGTGCTTGAATGAAGTTATTTCGCACAGCAACTCTCATCCTTGCACTATGCTACTTTGTTTTCTATTCTGGTTCTCTCCATAAAATCACTTTTCATTTTGTCATTTTTACGTCCATTTTCCAGCTAGGTTTCTCACAAGTTCAACAACTTGGCAAAATATTTCCAAAAATTATTTTCATTTTTCAACTGGAAACTAGAACCTATTCAAACATCTATGTCAAAGAGGAGTTAAATAAATAAATATAGATATATATATTAAAATTTTAATATTTATTATTTAAATTTAATAAAATAAAAAATTTTATATTTTATATTTTTATATAAAATATAATATAAATATATAAATTTTAATATTTTATGTAATACAAACATGTAAATCATCGTGTCTACTGCCGTCAGGGCAAGAATTAGGTACTAAGCCAATTTTTTTTAACAGTCGATGGGGCCTTAATAGGGATGTAGTTTAGCAAGTGGGAGAGAATCCCATGTAGCCGATGTTGAATACCTTACATTCTCTCGGACTTGAGCCCTATAGAAAGAACCATTTGGATTTCGACCATTTCCGCTGTAAATGATTCGTATTTGTAAGTTGTAACTTGTCTTAGCATTATTGTAGGTTTTAGGCCACATCCACATCCACTGCAGTCCATTTCATACATCTTTGGGCCAAACCTACGGGCTTTTATCTTCAGCATCAACGCTTACCTTCCTCTCCGTAAAAAAAAACATTAAAAAAATCAAAAATTAAGTTAATTGGTTGATATAATTATTTTTAAGTGATAATATTTAATAAATTTAAAATTTAAATCATAAAACTTATAATTTTTTTTATCTCCAAACATGGTCTGTTTTATTAAAAAAATCTCTGAAATTCTAAGAATGATGCCCTAACAAAAGCTTAACTCCACCTCAAAGGTTTAAATGCACGAAACTATCAAGTCAATGACATCATCAATTAGTATCGAATCGAATTCGAAGCGAATTTTACTTGCTCCAAACTTAATATGATTTTATGTATTATTAAATTCGAATTTGATTTTACTTGAATTTTTTTTTATTTTTTCATACTCGAATCGATTCCGACTTGATCTGAATTAATAAAATATTATTTTTTAAAATAATATTTTATTAATATCATTATATAATATATATATATAAATACAAAATAATTAATTAATTAAAAAATAATTTTTTATATAATATCAGATCGGATACAGATAAGATTTACTTAATATCCGAACTCGATCTGATTTCAATTGTTTCTTAATTTTACTCAATTCGATTCGAAATTTGAATTTAATAAAAAAAATTAATCTTATAAAATTAAATCAAATAAAAACTCATAAAAACGGATTAGATTGTCGACTCTATCATCACTTCAGGCTTTGTTTCTGCCATCACAATACAAATATATATTAAAAATAATACAAATTTTCTCTCGAGGCATCTTTTATTATTGTCATTTTATGAAGTGTCTATCATTGTCAATAACTTACCTGGCGTTCCTCATTTGTTAATAAAATCAAAATTGCTTTATTTTATTATAATATAAATATAGGCCAGACAGTATTTATAATAATTAATTAAATAGATAAATTTAAAACAAAAAAGCTTACATCATTACTTCAAAGTAATTTTTTTTTTATAGAATTAATTCAAAGAAACTAAATAAGTCGATATTTGTACAAAATTAGACAGACGTAAACATCATCAATCCATTTATCTATAAGTATAAATTATTCACATATCTATTGACTAAGTGGGTGGCGCGGGCCGGTGCGCAGCGGATAACTTATTATATTCTAAAATCGTTTTGTTTTTCTTGTTTTTCCCCTGTTTGAGGAAATGATGGAAAAAAAAAAGGATATACCAGAAAATGGGAGCTGATAAAAAAAAACAACGGTGAGAAAACAAGCCAATAAAAGAAAAGGTAAAAATATATAAAAAATAAATTAGATTGATCAATAAATTATTAATTTAATTAGTTAAAATTTATTTTTTTTATGAAAAAATCTTATATTCGAATTATATCGATGATCATTTATTAAAATTATTTTTAATATATGATTTATAATCATTTATTCGAAGTTATCAAATATGACATATCTTATTATAATATAAAAAATTGATCAATTTATTTAACTCTAAAATTTTTCTTTAAGAAAAAACTTGGATTGAACGTTTATTATAATACTACCTTATTATAATAATTAATTTTATTTAATTTTAATTTTATCAAAATTAATTTCGCAATCCGTTCAAGTTATCCCTAAATTGATAAAGGAAAGATGCTACCTAAAAATAGACCAACATCTAATAATGTAAGCATTTGATATCAGGCTGGTACCGTGGATCTCGAATGGACCCTTAACCCATTGGGTTGCTTATACCGACGAAAGACGGCTATTATATCCATTGATCTTTTTTATTTACAACATTTATGCAATAAACAAAATTTTAAAAACCATAAAATGACAAAAAAGCTAAATGAGATGGCATGTGAATTGATTAAATTAAGTATTATATAATATTTTTAATAAAATATTTATAAATATAGAATTAAATAAAAAATATATATATTTTGTATATATATCAAAATTGAAGCCTAATATCTAAAGGACTATATATTTTGTTTTAATTGACTAGCAATTACTTGAATGTGTATTAATGTAATTCTTCTATTTATGAAATTGTTTAAATTGATGACAAATGTTAGTTGGCATAACGTGATAACGTCAACTAGTATCACACGTGATGGATCAAGGATCTACACAGAATTATTTCAAAGTTTAAGGATCAAAATAAAATTCTTTCAAATTTTAAAGATCAAATACGAAATTATCTCAAATTTTTATATATTAAATATTTATTTAATAAAATATTAAATTTAAAATTATATTTTTATATTTTTAACTGTAATATAATTTATTAGTTGTATTTTTGTTTTGAATATAAAATATATTTTTTTAAAATTAAAATAAGTTAAAAATTCAATATCATTTTTAAATAAAAAATTATTTTCCATTAAAAATATTATTTTACTAAAAAATCATAATAAAAATATTATTTTCTATCCATAAAATATTTATTTTACAATATTAAATATCTTTTTTTCTTTTTCAAATATATTTTATAAAAAATAAATAAAGGAAAAGATAAAAATAATTCAAGAAAAAATTGATTTTTATATATTTCAAATATATTTTATAAAATATTATAATTTAAAATATTTTTTAATTTTTATTATGATATCATTTATCAATAAAATAATATTTTTAATAGAAAATAGATTTTTAAAAAATTAAAATTAAGTAAAAAATTTCAAAATAAGTTTGTTAAAATTACATATCATTTAAAAATTTTTTATATTAGTTTAAGAAATTAAATAAAAACTCTATATCATTTTAAAATATTATGTAAAAATTTTTAGATCATTTTCAAAAATAGATTTATTAATATATCAAAAAATATAAAAACTTATATTCATATAAATAAAAATATAATTTAAAACATTTGTATTTTTTAATTTTTTGTAAAATTTATTTTATAAAATATATTTAAAAAGAAAAATAAAAGATATTTAATATTCAAAAAATAATTATTTTGATAGAAAATAATATGTTTTATTATGACTTATGAGTAAAATAATATTTTTCATAATTTTGTTGTTTTTAAAATGTATTAAAAATTAAAAAAAAAGAATTTGAAAATTTTAACTTATATTTAAGTTTTGACTTTTTATTTTCTATTTAAAACAAAATTCTATCTAATAAGTTATATTATAACAAAAAATATAATGCAAGAATATGTATATACAATTTAAAATTATATTTTTTGTTAGTATAACTTATTAGATAGAATTTTGTTTTAAATAGAAAATAAATATTCAAAACTTAAAAGTAAGTTAAAATTAAGTGAGAATTATATTTTGATCTCTAAACTTTGAGAGAATTCTATTTTGATATCTCATTTATCATGTGAGATACTAGCTGACGTTATTATGTGATGCCAATTGGTATTTATATTCAATTTAGATAGTTTTATAAACTGAAATACTATATTGATACACGTTATGATGATTTAGGATTCAATTATAATTTTTTTAAAGTTTAAAGACTATGAGTGTTATTTACTCTCTCTCTCTCTATATATATATAATATTAAAGATTCGTCTTTAAATTATAAATTATAAAAGAAAACAAATTTATACTAAAATATATTGTTGATAAAATTGTTATTATGAAAATAAAACCTAACAATTGTACAAATAAAAAATATGAGTAAAACTTCACTTATAAAAGAATAGTAAGCAAGACTACAAAATAAATTTCATATAAGATAATAGAGTAAAATTGTAGTAAAACAAAGTTAGAGAATGGTCAAATTCAATTGCTTAATATCATTTTTGGAAGAAGATATGTACTTATATTACTATAAAAAAATTATCATAAATGTATTAAAAAGTTATCGTTATTAACCATTTAATATAAAAAGTAACAAAAGACATAGAATTAATGCAGTTTTTTTTTTTAAATTATAAATTTTAAAATTCTGCCTAATCTGCTATCTTAAGAAAAAAAAAAAACAAAATCTTCACTAATTTAATAATATCATTGTTGTCATCTTATTAAATGACTCATTTTTCTTTCATTATTTACTATGTTAAATTTCATTTTCATTTTATTTTTATAAGTAATAAGATGATATGAAAATATATTCACGAGTAATTAGTTTTTTTATTTAATTTCTTTTTTATTTGTATTATTAACCAAATTAGTTGTACTTTATTCATATAAGTATTCATTTGTATTTTATTAATATAACGTAAAAATATTATATATTTAAAATGTAATAAATGTAATTAATTCTGTCAAATTTATTATATTTGAAGTAATAAAAATATTACTATAAAAATAAATAAAATTTGTTTAAATAAATAAAATGCATGTACTAAAGAACACATGATTTTTAAACCCATTTACACGTAAAAAAATAAGCTATCCACATTAAAATATTTATTTTTTTATAAAAGGATTTGGCTTTTATATATTTATATAAAATATAAGATTTATATTATTATCAACAAACATTATCATAAATGTATTAAAAAATTATTATTATTAATCGTCTAATGTAATAAGTAATAAAAGATATGGAACTAATGCAAATTTCCCTTCAAAATTACAAATTCTGAATTTTTATCTAATTTGCTATCTTAAAAATTATTTTTTCGTAATTTAATAATATCATTATTGTCAGCTCATTAAATGACTTATTTTTTTTCTTATTTATTACATTAAATTTATTTAATTTTTCATAAGTAATAAGAAGACATGAAAATAAATTCATGAGTAATAAGTTTTTTATTTGGTTTTTTTATCTGTATTATTAACCAAATTAACTATAATTTATTTATATAAAATAAAAATATTGGATATTTAAAATATAATAAATATAATAAATTTAGTTTAATTAATTATTTTTAAGTAATAAAATGTTATTATAAAAATAATAAATAAAATATATTTATTAAAAAATATATGATGATTTTTAAACTCATCCGCATGTCAAAATACAAGTTATACATATTGGATTATTTTTTTTATCCGAAGGATTTAGTATTTATATATGTAAGATTAATAAGGATAAGTTAGGGTAGAAAAGAGAATATAGCAAATGAAATAGTCCAAGAGTTGAAAATTGGAAGTTGAATTGGCAGCAAAACATATAGCGAAGCAAATACGTAATCATGTTTTGAAAAAGGCGACAAAACCAAAACTAGATACATTGAACCTGGACATTTTTGGTTGAACCCGCGTAGGCTATAAGAGAGTCTAGTCCCTCCACATCGGTTGAAACTAGAATCGTAAAACTATTGTTCTATTCTACACGGATCAAATTAAAAAAAAAAAAAAAAAAAACAGCAAGCAAATGGCTCCAACAATGGCTATAGCTGATTCCAAATCTACAGCGACAACGAAGAAAGAGGAAGAAGAGTTCAGGAAGAGAAACCAGGAGTTGGAGAAGGAGTTGAAAGAGAGCAGGGAAAGAGAGGAGCAGATGAGAAACGAGTTACAAAAGATATTGGAAAGGCTAAGGGTGGCGGAAGAGGCAGAGGAAAGGCTTTGTTTTCAGCTGGGAGAGCTCGAAGCAGAGTCCGTCAATCAGGCCCGTGCTTACAACGCCCACATCCTCTCCCTCATGAACCAGCTCTCGAAGGCTAACGCTCTCGTCATCAACCACCGCAACGCTGATCCCATCTCCATCCTTTGATCTTTAAATTTTTGGCTTCTGCTTTTGTCTAATGTTTTATTATGTAAACAAAGGGCGTGAGACGCGTAAATCACTTGATTTTGTGTATGGATTCGTACATATATTAGTTTTAGTTTGTTGTTAATAGGAAAGGGCCGGTGAGCTGTGTAACAATGTCAAATATTCATATATTTGTTTCAGTTTTTCGCTATTGCAAACGCAAGGGTTATCCCTCGTTGTCAAACTCAACAAGTTTGCGGCCTCTGATTTCTTATGTTTTCATTCTGGTATGTACTTGGCGTCTAATATTCTTGTTTTTTATTTGATTTTATTTGATTTTTTTGCGTAAAGCTCAGGGAGAAAGGGGAGCCTGTTCTGATCCTTTGACTCTGTAAGGGCCAAAAATAAACCGTTGAATTTCAATCAAAGTCGTGGTTCTATTTCTCTATATGTCATTTTTTTTTTCTAAAAAGATGATCATTCTTTTTCAAGCATCTCAGAACATTTTTGTGGTTTCTTTTCACGTCCATGGATTTGAATATGACTTTGACAGCATCTAGTTCACGGCTATCTTTCGTTTTTCAAGTTCATGTGTATGGATTTTTGTATGATAAATCTAAAGCTCCATTCAATGGAAAGGGAGTTTCCCCCTTTTCTAGATATGTGATTTTTAAGTGAAAATTTGAATATTTCAGAATTAATATTTGATATATTATTATTGTAAAATTTTAATTATGCAATAGGGTTTAAAAAATAATGATATATATTTTTTTAAGTAAAATTTTTTAAAATATATCTTAAAAAATATTTATATTTTTTTAATTTTATTTTTATAATTAAAATTTTACACTAATAATATATCAAATATTCACTTATATTTTAATTAAATAAAAACAAAATAAAAGACAAATCGAGATCGATACACAGTGACGCAATCCAAGTCCTACCAGCGAAATGAAATGCTAGGCAAGCTATGCTGGGCTGATAGCCGCTGTTCGGTGAGGTTGGTCCACCCGTTCCACGTTTCTGGAAGACCATGGCCACAAAAGTGTCCATCAAGGGCTTAATTTATGCGGGGCCCATACTACTATTCATATTTTTGCCTTCCAATTTTTCATTTTTCTCTTACGACGTTTTCCTTTATACAAGGAAAAACCTCTCCTAGACGAACAGTAAAGGCGGCCAGTGAAAAGGAACCAGGATACTGACGGTTGCCAAAATTGCGGGCGGTCCAGGTTATGGAAAAGGAAAAGAACTTAATACTGAACAGACCCTTCAATTATTAGAACGCCTTGCTTAATTTCATTTCACCACTCTCTGCATTCTTAGGTACCTACCGATGCTATTACTAGGAACCACCTTTTCACCCCAACAGCAACATAGCAGACTGCATAATTCCATCATCTTCACTATACTTGCAAGTTAACTCATCCAAAAGAAAGTTCAGAACACCCGGACATTAAGTGATTGCATGATTCACAACATTGGTCGTTTCCCAGGAATTCAAACAGCTTATATTCCAGTACAGGAGTCCTATTATTATCATATCGAACTTACCACACATTTGGATGCTAACAAGGGACAGCAAACTTACTGGTTATAGCAGCTGCGTTAACCCTGTTGAGATTGGGCTAGAAAAAGCATAGGCCAAACTCCAAAATTACTGCATTAGCATCTTCATCCGATGTTTAGTATAACAGCAACTGAAACTACTCAATAAATTAAAGCTAGAGCAAACTGGTTTAAAGAACTCTAAACAAGCATGTTTATCGAAACTGGATGTTAAGAACAACAGAGACAAAAAGGAATTCATTTCATTGAAAAAGAAACAAACTAATCCCCTATTCTTTAGTTTCAGATATATAGGAAAATGCCCCTTCATGGTGAACCAGCTTAACAACAGAACTTCACCCACGGCTTCCTCGCTTCTCTCTCAATTCTGCGTCCCTGAAGACATAACCAGAAAGGTGAGATAGAATCGAATGGTCAAAGTCAATAATTACCCTTCATAGAAGATTGAGCCAAACCTCTGAACATGGTCAAGAATAAGAAGCCTGGGTCCAGGGGGTATATTCACATCTCTAAGAGCACTGAAACACATCATGGCAATTAAAGGCCATCAGAATATATATCTACACAGTTCATAAAATATTAATTAGAAAGTTAAGAGAAAAAAAACTCCAATTGCTTGCCTATCAGTGAGCAAAGGCAACGTGCTATCTGTTAACAAGCCTTTCTTGAAATTCTTCTCGTAGTTCTGGAGCCCAAGACTATTTAACATGGACCTTGTTCTGGAATAGTACACATCCTCAGCAGGTGGTTGAGAAAACTTTTGCCCTAACTGAGTAATCACAAAAAAGGCTGTTAGATATAAAACTACAGGCCAGTAGAGTACTATTTCAAAGCAGTACTCATTCAGAAAACTGTCAGAATATTCCAAAATTTTAGCACACCAAGTTCACAGCCTTTTTTTTTTGGTTTATGCATGCTCTATCATGTTCACAGCTTTTTTTTGAAGTTAATAACCAGAAATGTGTTGAAAATAAAATAGTTATCTCAAGGAGCATAATGAGATAATTGATCACCTGGAAGAGCCCGCCTTGAACAAGTGCGAAGAAAAGTCCAGAAGTGACTGCATTTGCAGCTTGATTTGGGCCACCCATGCCACTCACTAAAGAAAACATGGCCCCAGAACCAAAAGCTGCCACCATGCTGCAATAACAAATATTTATCTTAAACAGCTGTATAAACCTAAGGTATAAAGTCAACCAACATAAAAAAACAAATTAAATCTATAATTTTTATCCAAACAACAATCTTGGATCATACATAAATCTTCAGATTACCTAACACAAATATGCAACAATGCTCTCCTTAAATAATATTGCAATTCTAATTTATGATGGGAGAGTGGAGGTAAAGAAAGCAGATTGTCCCCAGGAGAACAGCGCATAAAAATGGGGAGAGAGATGGATGTAGAAGAGCAAATGAGAGAAGAAAAAACAAGTGTATTGTCATCGACAAATGCACCATCAAGCTTCTAAATTGATGGGAATATAATCTAGTTCGAAATGGCAAGATCTTCAAAAGTTGTTATTCCATTTGCTACACAAAATAATATATAATCAGTTAATCAGCTTCTAACTGTACCAGTTAAAATGTTTGTGGGATTATTTCTATTCATCAGATGCATACAAATTAAAATGATAAAGGGACCAGAATCCCCAAATAGCCTGACACAGCCTATTTTACTAGATTAGCTAGAAATGGAAATCAAGTTGGTTCTTTAAGGGCAACAACTTTAGAGTATACAGGAAAATTAAAGAGGAAAATGCCTCCAAATTATCACTTGATGACGAACCAGAGGGACAAATGAGACTTCATCCTTTCACAAATACACTGTTGACGAGTCTACTCTGCTACTTTTAGACCAAAACAAAAGAGAAAACTGCTTTCCAACCGGCCAGATTCAGAAAAGCCAACACAGATATACTACCAAAACATTTCCATGGTCTGGAACAACTTGTTTGACCAGAACATTTATAAAGCTAAGATTGATTTGGCCTTAAAGAATGATATGAAGATTTTCTTGCATCTTAACAGGGATCTCATCGAGATTCAGTACATGACTGAGGACAAAAACAGAATAATCAAATAAGAATATATGAGAAAAACAATTGTATGGGTGTTCAGAAACAAGTCATTTATAGCATTATCTGTCGGTATCTTCTGTGGGTTTATTGAGCATATTGCAGCATATGTATGCATGCTGAATTCTGATTGAACTATAACTAGTAGCAATATCCACTAGATATAAAACAACAGAAAGAAAATAAATGAAGAAAAAAGAAAACTATCATAAAAAGGTCCACCTAGATTGAACATCCTCCTTCCCTCTCAATCTTTTCATAACAGAAGATATGCCAGCATTGACACCCGTCATCACAGCAAAATTGCGAGCTTGTACTAGGGGACCTCCTGATAGAGCCTGTAATCAAAGCAAACATCTATCATATATCAATAAAATTCATTTATCAATGAATAATCCAACGCTGTTTAGAAAACCCTTCAGTGGCCATTAGTTGTAATCAATGCTTTGTAAACAACAATAAAACAATTAGCACACATAGTGTGTAATCGAGTTGATACACTGCCAGACTTAAGCTCGATTTGATTCGAAAACTCAAGGCTCAAAGATCAATTGAACTTCATTTTTCATTCTCGAGCTCAGCTCGTAATTTAATTAACCTGCTTGGGCTCGGCTCAATTAGACTCGATAAAATTGTAAATATTAACATTAAACACTATATTTTTGCCATATATATACATATATTTAAAAAAAATGCTCAATTAAGCTCGACTCGCATGCTTATTAAACTACTCAAATTCAGTTCAACTTGTTACTCCAGCTTGATCTCGATAACGAAACTCAAAGTTTATTTTTCGAGTCGGACCCGAATAGTTCATGAATTAAGTTACTTGTTTACACCCCTAAGTATGCACCATATAAGACGCTGATTCTCCCCAAAATCACACAATCAGCATTAACAAATAAATTTACAAAGCAGAAAAAATAGCAATAAATATAAAAACTGTGACTTTGGCCTTCGCCCAAAATTAAAAACGACAAATTGGAGTAAAAGAATTGAGAAAGAAGGATTGGAATTAGGAAACCCTATAGTTGGTTAAGTTATAGTAAAAACTATTAACATGGAATATTCTTTTTTGAGATTGGAAATCACAGTTCTGAGAATGTCGAGGTTGTAGATATGAATGAAAGTAAGTCAAATGAACGAGACCTGGGCTTGCTTGAAAGAAGCCATGGCTTGAGGATTGAGAGAAGCCTGAGGAGGAGTTGGAAGAGAGGAGGAGACATCGTTGGTGAGGGCACCCATGAAAGCACCAATAGCAGCACCCTGAGCAGCGCTGGCGGCGGTTACCACAGCCGCCTCGACTGGCATGGACTGCTTGGCTAGCCATGCCCTAAACCCGTTCTCCACTTCCTTGAACTTGGCTTGCAATTGTTCCAGAGGGTTTTGCTGAGGCATCAACCTGGTGACTACCATTCCTTGCTCTTTTCCTCGCTCCATTTCGTTAGAATTCTAGTACGTAATTTGCTTGACTGCCCAAAGCAAAAAAAATGCTATGGGAATTGTATATTTGCTGTTGCTGTGGATGTGGGTGCCGCCGGATTTTGCCGCTGGAGCTGGATGTAGATATATTTTGGTACAGCACAGCACCCTTTCCCTTTTTGTTTTTGGTTTTGGTTTATTCTAGAATGGGCTTTTAGCCGAAGCCTCTTTAAGCCCATTAATTGGGGTCTCTCTTGTTTTTGTAATCCTTTTATTTTATTTTAATAAAAAACCCAATTTATAATTACATAAAAGAAATTGTAATATCAATTTGCTTTTGAAATTAAAGCTGGCTTCGATTGGTGTTTTTATTTTTTTTACATTTTATTATATATCTTTTGTTTTTTTTTTCATTTCATGTTATTGAATAAAAAATTGACAAATTTGAAATACCCAAAAAATACTATGGATGAAAGCCCATTAGTTAAAGAAAAAGACTAAAATGGACCATGTGATGGGCCGAGTTTTCTCTGCCCAAATGGCATCATTCCAAAAAAAGAATGAAAATACTTCATAGTTTAGCCCAGTCCCCTGCCCACAGGTCAAGCCCTGACCAATCCACTCCTGAATTAAGAACTGAAGGTGAAACTGAGTAACGTTCCTACAAAATCTTAAGAACTGAAGAAAAGGCTGTTTCCAAATAATTGATATGATGCTTGAATAAATTGTAGGGAAAAAAGCAATTTCTGATTCTGAGCCCTTTCTTAATTCCCTTTAGAGTTGTTTTATGTTCCTTTCAATTTGACTTTGTTCCTTAGAATCTTTACAAACTTGTGCACTACGAACTTTTAAGAACGAGGATGATGGAAAGGTTGCTATGGAAGAAATATCCGAGAAACACTTGGGACCTCGTGTAAGAAGTTTCACATTGCATTGCCTTGGGATTACCTAATTCAGGGTTCTCCATTATTGATTCATGGTTTACTAGAAAAGTCATCGAACTTAAAAAATTGGTTTTGGATCTCTTTTTAGAATTTATGAAAATAGAGATCAATTTGCTTTGGAAATGAATCATTTCCTCATTGAACAAAACCATTTTCATGCATTCAACATTATGATCAACATTGTTTTAATGAATTTTACTCCATACGTCAGAGAGTTGAGACATTGAATCCAATAAGATAATCATTCTGGTGTGACTCTAATAAGATTGGAGGGCCAGTGTTTGTATTGATTCTGATGAAATTGGGTAGATGTTGGCAGGCAGCAAATCATTCAATTTGGACATTATCATCAGATTCTGAGTCTTCTCTTGATCATTCTCCTAAAAACAAGGAGAAAATGTCTCTATCTCAAGAGAGTGGAGGGGCCAGTTGTCCAGTTCTCACTGGCAGAGCTGAAAAGTCTACACGAATGAAAACTTCTAAAGGAAAATCTCCAAAAAGGGGTTAAAAGCGGGTGCTCAGACTCCCAAAAAGAAGAAGAATGTCAAAGATGATGCAAAGATAGCAGGCATGATACTGGACTTATAAATGTTAAATTTGCTTTGAACTTTCTTGTATTGAATTTGGTTAGCTTAAAACATTTTATATAGCTGATGTAAAGGCTATTTATGTGATAAAGCTACCTAAGTTGCTTCGCATCCAATTTCTCATTGATACAGAAATTGATGGTGATATAGAAACTGCTGAGGAGGCATCTGGAAAGCACATTGAACCTCATGTAAGATTGTTGGTAGCAACTGTGATTGTTTCTTTTCTATCCTTGGCTCACTGAATTCTTCAACAATTTATAATATGTAGGTTTCCACCTCCAGGTTGCCTTTGGTGCTGTCTGAGAAAGTTCGCCGTGCAAAGGTGGGTAACAGTTTTCATAGTATTAGCTTCTTTAAATCCACCTTCCCTGGAGAACTGGCTGTGAGTTTCAAAAAAGGACGCTGGTCTTGGCAATGGACAACCACTTTTAGTTTCTTGGAATTGTTATGAAGTTTTACCTTTATATTGTCAGGAAATCAATTAAGGGAGATTTAATTGCTTCTAGAAGTGTAATCTGATATAATCTAAAATTTGTTAATTTACTTACTTCCTCAGTCATTAGAACTCTGCCAACAACCTGGGAAAACCAAGAAACCTGTCTTAATAGTATAATTTGCTTGTCTATTTTTGGACTCGTAAGGATTTGGTTTCATTTCTTTTTATTGTAATTCAAAATCTAAAACCCTTTAGTTTGTTTTGATTTTTGCTTTATATGTGAGAAGAAATGGAAGGCCTCAAAGCAAGCCAAATTTATTGTATGTTACGGATATCTCAAATCTGATAGAATTAACATAATAAATTTTGGACATATGATTACGTATTTGTGCATTCATAAAAGCCATTGATTAATAAGAGGCTTTGTGGCTTGCGCAGGCACCTGTTGAGTGTGAAGGGGATTCCATAAATTTGAGTGGAGATATGGGGGTTGTTGGACGAATGGTAATTTGAGATTCTGCATCTGAAAATCATGAAATGTTCATAGACTTAAAAGGCATGTTTTGTTCAAATGCACTTCTTAGGTTAAGATGATATATATATATATATATATGTTTATTATGTTTTAACTTTCAAATAATCATCTGAGTGGTTAGTAAGACACTGACACCATTACGTTTAAAAGAATACATGCATTCCTATATAACTTGGACTTGTTCTGCACCGAAATTCAGTAAGTTTCTGGCATTTTCTGTTACACTTTCTCTGTTTGAACCTTTTTTTTAACTTAAATCTTGGATATACTCTAGTTACACTTGGAAGACTTTATCTTTCTCAATCTCTCATGACTCGTTTTTGCATGGCTTATTTTCTCAGGAACCATTTACAAAACAACAATAGTACCTTCCAGAACATTTTCCATTGAGCGTAAACTGTCTTGCATTTTCTCACTGGACATTTGTGATTCTATTGATGTTTAACATATTGTTTATTGGTCAGTCTGAGGCTAAGGTTTGTCCTATTATTTACCTTTGATATTGCTTTTGTCAGTCAGATGCTTGATATTTTCCTCAACATTGCTGTTAAATTTCCTTATTGCTTCCTGTAAATTGCATATTCTATTCTCAGATTGAGGCGATCATGAATGACTTCATTCAGCTTAAGCCACAATCCAATGTTTACGAATCGGAGACAATGGTTGAAGGTAGCCTTATTTTAGCTATTAATTTATCAATGTATTTATTCATTCATTTCTGGAAAGAAAAGGGATGGTCGGGTTGGGGGCAACTGGCAAGAATGTGCTTCCATCTAATGTATATAATGGTCCATTCATATTTTGACAAATGTTATAAAAAATTTGCTCTTCCTTGACAATTGATCATCTTGCATTAATAGTTACACTAGATGGCTTCTCATTTGATTCTGAAGATGAATTTGACAAGATGCCAAAGGCAATTCCTCATCAAACTGATCAAAATGAGGGTATTGATAGACAAATGAATCGGAAAGCCAAAGGAAAAGCTGAGAAAACATCTGTATGCATTCAGATCACCTTCACTTATATGCATCTTTGTTAATTAGAGAAACTCATGTTTTTATTGCATGATCAATACTTCCTTCCATGAAAAATACCAAAAGCAAGAATCTTTTGCATAAACAATGTTATACCAGCACATCCCTAAAGTGAACTGGCACAATTTTTGCTTCTTTCGCAAGGCTATATTACAAAATATGGACCAGCAGAGGAAAATGGGGAAGAACAGAGGCGAGGAGTTATTACAACTGAGCTAAGTGATGTTCAACAGCAAAACAGGAGACTAGGTGAATCAAAACTACCTATCAGAACCATATTTTAGAATTCAAGGAACATTGCTTCACAAAATTAAGCATACATACAGTTTATAGGCTGGGTTGCTGCAGCTTCCATGTATAACAAGATTAGATGAGCGAAGGAGAACAAATCATGGCAGAACTCAAGCTGCATTAAACAAAACTTTAATATTTCAGGATAGCACAACTCGTAACAACTTCCAGGTCTGCAGCTCAACGACCCAAATCTCTACACTTGCTGGACAAAACTCAACAACAATCCCTCTTACCAGAACTGTTTAGACAATTGCCAAGGAAAAAATAACAAGAATTATGCAATGAAATAGCAGGACTTCGAAGTTGCAATTAGCAAAGCCTTGATGTTTCGAGTCAGATAAATACTGCCTACAACTTCCCAGCTGTACAGTTCTGCTACCTAAAACCGATCTGTTTCACCAGCTAAACTCAGCACTAGGCTTATTTTTTCCAAAAATTTTTATTAGCCTGCAACTTAAGTCAGCTGAGAGAAAGGTGCCTTATGATAAGCACAATGTGATCCTCACAAGTCCATATATGGTCATCTCACTTCATGGGTTCCAAATAGAGACCAAAGGTTTTATGCAACTGATCCAGAAGAAGTCAAATGATATGTTATTTCATTATCAGCACAGAGATCTTAACCAACCAATTAAATCGTAAGATGATCAATCACCTTGCTTATAACTCCATTTTAAATTGGCACACCAGGTTCAGACTGCAAAAATGTCTATTATTATTCAAAAAGACAGCAGCATTAACACAACATGTGTTCATGGCAGCCAAGCAGGAGATACCCCATTGGCTTCTTCACCCCATCAAAGCTGAAAAAACATGGCAACTGATAAACATTAGCATGTAGCAGTTCTTCCATGTGCAAAACTCAAATGGTACACCTTCACACGTGGCATTAGCAATAGCTCTACCTTGTAGCTGTCTGAAGATAGCAATGTGATGTTTGATTTGAGAAAGGTTGAACGACCTTGTATTCTAAGGGGGGAATCCCTCCAAAAGCCCAGACTGCTAATAGCAGGCAGCAAGCATAACATGGAACCTAGTTCTTCAGCAGTAGGCCTGGTTTTGATATCAAACATTCACAATGACAAAATTTCCTGCACAAGAACAATTAAAAATAAGAAAGTGAAAACATTTTAATTCACAAAACCTAGAAATGGAAAAATTCATTCATTATCACAAAAGTATATTTAAACTCTCCTGAATTGCACACTTTCAACCCCTGCAAAATCAACATATACTTCAGGACCTCATATATCAAATTAACAGGGAAAATGAAAGAAACGAAAAAACTAGAATATAACAAAACATGAAAATAGCCATATCATTCCTCTTCAACCTGCATTCAACTAGTCAAACGACAAAGGAACAAGTTATAGAATCACATCTAAATATAGTGGCAAACCACGAAAATAGATACAAAATATATAAAATGAAGAATGTAATTGATTCTGCGCTACCAATATCATTCAGAGTTAGATTAACAATCAAATATCGCACCATACATCCACGAATACACAAGTTCAATAAAATAATTAAAAATGGTTACAACATTAACAACTACAATAGACAAATATAACCAAGGAACTGCTAAAATAATATCATAATAATTCAACTCCTATTAAGGACCTAGAAGCACCCTGTTTCTTTCAAAGTTGATAAAGCTGTGTAGTAGAAGTAAGAAAGAAACTGAATTAAATTCAAGTCTCATAATGAAGCTAGTAGAAAAGCTACATAGCATTAGAGAAGATAAGAAATTAAATTGTTTTTCCTACAGGAAGGTAGAACGCCAAAGGGTCCACCATCATCAAGTCTATTATCCATTTATCCATATTTGTCCCATGAGAAGAAGCAAAATGGAATAAATTTCAACGGAACACAATGAGCGAAACAAGATAAAGGAGTCCCTAAGGTTAATAATATGATAATATATATGTATTCTAAATTCTAATATAATCTAGCTCATATCCATGCCATCTCCAACTTGGCTGCAGATGGGACTAACAGCAGAGAAAGATCTCTCAAAAGGAGAAGGATGAAACTGCGCATCACGTCTACGCTTAAAACCAAAGCTATCAGAGGGTGGGGAATTGTCAGCATCAAGCTTCCTCCTGACGCCTCTGACTGCCTGTTCCTCCGCTTGAGTAAGGGGAAAGACCTGGCCGCTTGCCCGGCAAAGGGAACTATGGTTATCATACAAAATTCTCTGGTTACAATTCTTGTCACAGATGTGTGTGATTCCCGTTAGTTTGCAGCGATACAAGTTGCCACAAACATGTTCGGTTTGACATTTCCAATCACATTTGTGAACAGAAATAGGCCCATCACGGCCCAGAATAGTAGACAAATAAATAACATTTGCAGGGGCAGCAACCATGGTTTTACTGTATACCTCCATTGCCTTTGAGACCAAAATTGACCAAAAAGTCTTTCTACAATGAAACTCCCAACCGTGTAAAACTCAAACGTTCTTCTGCAGAGCCCAACAGAATATAAAAAAATGGGTCAAAATTTTGATACACTTTGGCAGGGTTCTTCTCTTGCTAGCAACTACTAATATTTTTGTCAAAATCCACAGCAAAAAAGTAGTCTTATATTTGAACAAAATTAATAAAAAAAAAACCACCCAACCCAGCTATATATCAAAGATTTAAAAGCACTGAGCCTTAACCGTTGAACCCATCACATAACAACCAAAATACAAGATCAAATTGCAAACGGATCTGGAAATGGGTACAAAAATTACCCATTCTCCAACAATTAGAAAGCACAAAACTTAATAACAAAAGTAGGGGAAAAAAAAAGAGAAACTAACCCGGCGCCGGAACAGTGAAAGCAACAAGACCAAAAAAAAAAGGAGCAATCTCTCGTGAAGAAGAAGCGGCAGCAAGAACAAAAAAGGGAAGGAGAGAAATGGGAAATACAAGGCAGGGGTGGGGGTTATATATATAGAAAAAGGGGCGAAGTGGAAAATGAGTCGTAATTGCCGAATAGTGGGATTGGGTTGACGAGGGGCGCCCTTAGTTAAAAAAGAAAGAACGAAAGCGTTTCTGGACACAACACGCACGCAATGGACATAAAACACAGTATGGTTTGTTGTTTGGTGTGGAACACGAAATTGTGAAATGCCAAACGAATTCACATGTAATTTTGCGTTGTTACCTACTCTCCCATTTCTCATTGACCTTTTATTTGCTGACTACTCGAACGGGAATGGCCCCATTTCCCCATTTCCAGGACACAGACAAATTACCCTTTCTTTTACCCAACTACAACTATCATCAAACAGTATCGCTCGCGGTTGGTGAGCTACTTGTTCGGCCCACGCCCATCCAATCTAATCCCAATTAGTGGGTGGGATTGGGCCTAATCAAACATTACATTAATCATCAAATCTGGAGACCAAACCCAATGTGGCTCAACACATGTTGTATCTGTTTGATGCTTGGACTATCCTCCAGCCTTCAACCCACCGCCAAATGGCCTGCAATGGGTTGCAACACATACATACGTACAAGGAAAATTATTTGATACTCAGAAGTTAATTTTTTTTAATACGGTCAGAGACTACGATAATTTGATACATTTTAAAATTTTACTTTTAAAAGTTTCTACAACAGTTTAAACTTAGTTGACAATTATGGTTTTTTTATTGGGTATTACTCATTCTTAGCAAAGTTTAGGGTTTTAATTTCTCTTTTTATTTTACCTTTTCTGGGATGCATAAAAAAATAATTTTGAAGTTATGGCTAACACATGAGATATATATTTAGAGCCACAGGGGCTTGACCTCCCAAAAATTTTGAAAACTTATTAGCAGGTACATATATTTATATTAAATAAATTAAAATCGGTTATCCATTGTTAGTCAGTTTTATTTATTTATTCTTAATTAAATATAAAGATCCGTCATTGCCAAAAGATTGGAAGCACTTCATTTGTGAAGTTTGATTTTCACTTCGCTAGTACTTATGTATACATTTGAAAGATCAGTTTGTTAGAAAAGCCAAAAGTTAGTTTTCAAATTATAGTTTTGTACGACTTTGATTTAAACGAATGATTTTTTTTTATTGTGATTATTACTTAATTTTGGTCACGCGCCTTACTCACACGGATGTAACATTCCAATATTGTTTTTCATGTGTAGTTTTTGAAATTTTTTTTGAAATTTTTAATTTTTTTTGAAATTTTTTATCTTATTATATATTTAACTAGTTTATTATCTGTGCAATGCACGAATTATTTTTATTTTATATAAATTTAAATAAAAATTAATATTATTTAATCATTTACATATTCAAAAATATGTAAAATATAAATAATATAATTAAGTTATTAAATCATAATAAAAATAAAATTTTAAATTAAAAAATTAACAAATTTTAAAATATGCGATAAATAATATTGAAAGAAGAAAAAAATCTAAAAGATATTGTAAATAATATTATTAAATAATATTATTTAGTACACTAACAGAGTATTAAAATAAAAACTAAAAGTCTATCACTTTAAATTAATTTTGTTCAATTTGCATTATCTCTAGCTTCTCTTATCATTTTTATGCACATGCAAATTTATGTAATTTTAATATAAATTTTATTTATTTAAAAAAAATAATTTTAAATATTTAAATAATATACATGATAATTTACTCACGTGCACTTTTAAAAAAATATTTTAGTAATATCATGATTTTCATCATCTAGATAACTTTTCAAATATTTGTGCATTTCAGTTGTTTTGAAGTTGATATCTGATATAAAATTATGTTCCTATAAGAACCGAAATGAAATAGTTTTAAAATTTGAGTAAGGAATAATATTAAATTGTAAACAATTATTTAAAAAATTATTGAAAAAAATTTAATAAAATATATTAAACTACTTATTTTTTGATATTTTCAAGTAAATACTGAGAATAAATATTGTGAGAATTTGCTAATGTTATTAACTTATCAAGTGGTTAGCTAAAATTGAAATGGATTCAATTTGGCCGAGTTGAGGGCAACCAAGGCGAGCCATTTAATCTAGATATTTTTTGATCTGCTGAAAACTACCAGGAGCTCCAAAAGCCAAGTTCTATGAAGAAACCTCAACCCCGTGCTTTTTGCACGTGGTTTTGATTTGTGCAAGTAATAATTTAGGGCTAGAGAGAAATTCATGTGGCTGGTGCTCATCTGATAGGCCCATTCTAGGCAAGATGATTTTGTATGAATTCTTTGCAAACATCTCTACAATTGCTTTATAGCCATCTCTTGAGGCTGTGTTATAGAAGCTAGCTGTCAATTCAAAAGGGTGTGGGTTTTGTACCACGAGTATATTGTAGACATTTAATTTAGTTTAAGTTCGGATCAATTAAATCTGATCCAAATAGATAAGTTCATTTATTTTTTTTAATTTTTAATTAATTAATTATTATTACTATTATTATTTATTAATGTATTTATATATATATATATTATTTATCTATTAACATATATTATTATTTATCTATTAATATATATTTTTTATTTTTATTTTTTTTGCTGGGATTAAGATAAAATTTTTTTTTTCTGCCGTGAATTTGGAGTTCAATCAGAGTCTGGATTGAATTCAAAGAGTGAATCCCAATCTAAGATGGTATTGGTATTGATCAGAAACTCTTCTAATCAATTCCTATAAATAGATCCATAAATCACAAAGAACAGAATACAAAAACACACACAGAGAGAAAAAGAGCAAAAAGAGAAGGCAAAAGGGGCGTTCAGAAGGGTCACAAGTAGTTTTAAGAGTTTTTTAAAAATTTTGGAGAATTTTAGGTGAAGTTTGAATTTTTCGATCAGCTACCAAGTTTCAACGTACTATTTTTAGAAATCGACCAACTTTTCGACGAACTTCCAACGAAAAATCCAGATTCTTACGATATTTTCCAGAATCCAACGAGATTTAACCATAGTTCTTAGTTTTTTTAGAGAGAAAGAGGAGAAAAACAGAGAGAATAAAGAGAAAGAAAGAAACAATCTGCAGAAAAATAAAGGTTAGAGCCTTTTATAGTGCCGTAAAACGATGTCGTTTTGGCGTTAATAAACCCACAGGATCCGTGCGTTTTGTCAAGATTTGACCTGACCCAATCGCTACCTAATCCAGTGACCCGCGTACTAAGCTTTCCCTGGAGTCGAACCGAGCCGACGTCCCCGAGCCGCATCTTCGAGCCGTCTTTTCTATCTTAAGCCGAGCCGTTCCAAAAGTTTTTTTTCTTTTATTATTATTATTATTATTTCTTTTATTATTATTATTATTATTATTTATTGATTAGATTAGAATTATTTAGTATTTCTTATTTATTTTATTTTTATTTTTATTTTTATCTTTATTTTATTTTATTTTTTGGTTTTCTTTAAATAAAATTCCAAAAAAAAAATATTTTTGAGGAAAAGTTGAAAGTATTAATTTTCCTTGAAAATAAGTTTTCTAAAAAATATTTTTGAGAAAAAGTTGAAAGTATCAATTTTTCTTAAAAATAAATTTTCTAAAAAATATTTTCGAGAAAAAGTTGAAAGTATCAATTTTCTTTGAAAATAATTTTCTAAAAAAAGTTTTTTTTGAGGAAAAGTTGAAAGTATCAATTTTTCTCGAAATTAAAGTTTCAGAAAAACATTATAGGGAAAAGTTGAAAGTATCAATTTTTCTTGTACAAAAGCAATGAGTTTTTGAAGAGAAAAAGATTTATATCTAAAGCTGAATTATTTTTTTTCATTTTATTTCTTTTTCTTTTTGTTTCTTGAATTTTTTTTAATGATAAATAATCCATCGATAGAGTCTCTGCAAGTGAAGCAGTAGTTTTCTTGCATACTCTTGAGGTGAGAGAATTTTTTTAATTTTTTGCTAAAAGTATTATAGTTAATTGAGAATAATTTTCAATAATTAATTACTTGATAAATTTTTAAGGCTTATTGGATAACACAAAATTAAGCCGGTACCATCTTTCGATAGGCGTTGTGAGGGTGCTATAACCTTTCTCACACGTAACCGTACTCTTGAATCCTGTTCCAGTTAGTAGACTTGAACCTATTCTTTTAGGGACCCTTAAGCTTAAGTGTTCTTTAAAAAGATAGATTCGTTAGGTGACTAATCACACCTAGATAAAAAAAAATTGGTGGCGACTTCTAAAGTCAATGTCTAGCAATAGATCTTCGGATCTAGACGTTATGATAATTTAGTGACTTCGTTGGGGACACCACTGAGAGTCAGGTCAGCAAAAAAATTTTATGTTGTCCAAAAACCTAATAAAATTAAACTTTTTGTTTAGATTTTTTATTCATTTATGTTTATTTACTTTGTTAATTATGTCATTCATATGCATGTGCATAACATGAGTTCTATACCTGAGCTCCGTCCCTCTAGGAGGGAGTAAAGTACCTATTACTTTCATGAGGTTTAATGCCTCTGCAGTGGCTAACAAAATACTCTTACTCAAATTGAATATTTTTCGTTTGTAGCCTGTAATGGGTGAGGATTTGGGTGCTTTATTAGTTTGTAATCGACAATGATGTAAGGAGCAATTTGGGAACCTTTAGACTTTAACCTTAAACCACATATAGTGAACCTTATAAATGCCTAACCTATAGATAGAGCCATTTTCTTCCCTTTAGAATTGTCCAAAAGTATATGATTCATTTTTCTTATTGGGTGTGATGTTCTAATTTCTTTAGTTATTAATTTACCTATTTCTCTTTATGTGATATACTAACCTCTTCTCTTATTCATGTTTGCATGATTCATACTCATATCATAAAGTTACATAAAGAACATTTGCTTGAAAGACGGTCTTTAACAAAAATTTTGCATGGACTATAGAATATCTAGTTTGTTCTTTATCTGTATTAGCTCATTGCGAGTCACCAAACGAAGTAAGGGTCCAGTCAAAAAAGATTCAACTGAAGATGGGGATTGTTTACCAATCAGATACGATTTTACCTTGTCTCAAGAAACATCTATCCTCTTCAAATAAAATAATATAAAGGATTTGGTTGATATATGAAAAAAGATGAGTCCGTCAAAACAAGAGCAGTTTTGCCAGAAACACGAGCATATAACACACCTTCTCGCAGTAGTTGTCGATAATCGACTAATCAAAGTTGCAGCATAATTATAGGAACCTGCATACAAGTGTTTCATC